CCCCTGTCCCCACTCTTTGCGCATCTATTTTTGTTGCTGCTGTTGTTCTGGCGCCAGGAATCAAACTCATGACCTCACACTTGCGAGGCAGGCGCTGTGCCACTGGGCTATATCCCAGTCCCCAGGGGTCTGTTCCCACTCTTTATTCAACATAATCCTGGAAACTTTAGCCAGAGCAACTAGACAAGAGAAAGAAATAAAAGGAACAATGATAGGAAGAAGTTAAATTATCATTATTTGTAAATGACATGATACTTCACATAGAAAACCCCAAAAACCCCACAAAAAAACTGCTAGATTTAATGAGTAAATTCATTCAGTAGCATAGCTGGATACAAAGTCAACACTGAAAAATCAATAGCCTTCCCGTACATGAATAACAAACTCACTGAGAGAGAAATTAGGGAAACAACACCTTTCATAATAGCATCCAAAGAAATGAAATACCTAGAAATCAGTCTAACAAAGGATGTAAAAGACTTCTACATTGAAAACTACAGTACTCTGAAACTGGTGCGACCACTGTGGAAATCAGTGTGGAGAGTCCTCAAAAAACTAGGATTGGAGGTCCCACTTGACCCAGCTATTCCTCCACTGGGTATCTTCCTAGAAGAATTAAAAACATCATACCACAACGATGTATGTGCACCCATGTTTATAGCAGCACAATTTGTACTAACCAAATCTTAAAAACAACCCAAATGTGCATCAACTGAGGAATGGATAAAAAAGATGTGGTCTTTTTATACAATGGAGCACTACTCAGCCATAAATAAACTTAAAACTTTTATAGGTAAAAGGATGCAACCTGACACCATACTCATAAGTGAAATAAATCAGACTCACATGTGCAAACATCAGATCGTCTCCCTAGCGTGAGAAGCTGAAAGAGTAAGATCCAAAACGTGCACCAGATATTGTAAAATGGGAGGAAACTATTTAAAAGGAAAGAGAAACTGGGATGGGGAAAAAGAGAAAAGAAAGAAGGGGAAAGCCAAAAAAAAATTTAAAAATAAAAAAAAGTATATATATATATATATATATATATGATAGTTAAGACAGTTATACTACTAATTTCTCTTAGTTCACTGAAAAGAAAGGTTTGTGCTAATATTGCTTGGACAACTAAATGCCTAGGGCCAGAGATATAGCTCAGTGGCACAGTGCCTGCCTGGCAAGAGCAAGGTCCTGAGTTATATTCCCAGTATCAACAACAAAAAAAATTAAATGCCTATATCTTATACTCTGAGTAACTAACTTAAAGATAACAACATGCAATGTATTTACCATTGCTACCCTCCTATTGTCTTGTTTTGAAATTTTGCATTTTTCTCTTTAAAATAAAAACATAAATAAATACAAACAAACAAACAAATCGTGCTCACTGGCTATCCACATGCCAAAGACTGACTCGAGATCTGTATCTCTCACCATTTACTAAAGTGAAGTCCGAACGGATCAAAAATCTAAACATTGAAACAGAAATGCTTAACCTGCTGAAGATAAAACAGGTAAAACTCTTGGAAGACAAGACAAAGGTATAAGCAAGGACTTTCTCAACAGAACTCCAATTGCACAAGAATACTAAGAATCAACAAATAAGATCATATCAAATTTAAAAGGTTCATCGCCTTTTTAAAGAAAAAGAAACCGCCAAAAGCGTAAAGAAACAACCTACAGAACGGGTTTTTGCCACCTATTCATCAGAAAACAAATATCTAGAATATATATAGAACTCAAAAAAATTAAAAGGCCAAAAACAAAAGACCCAATCAAAAATGGGCAACCAAATTAATAGACTTTTCTCAAAAGAAGTATGAATGGCCAATAAATATAAGAACAAATGTGCAATACTGCTGGCCATTAGAGAAATACAAATTAAAACAAAACTGAAATTACATCTTCAGAAAGAATGGTTATCACCAAGAAATGAGTAATAAATTTAGTGAGGCTACAGAAGGGAAAGAAGGAAACTTCTACCTTGTTGGTGGGAATGTAAACTGATAAAATCACTCTGGAAATCAGTACAGAGATTGCTCTAAAACTAGAAATTTCATTTGACCCATCTAGTCCCCTCTGTAGGTATCTTCCCAAACAGGTTAAAGACATATTTACACAACACAATGAGATAGGTATAACCATACTCATTGCAGCACAATTCACAGTAACTAAATCTTAGAAGCAGCCTATATGTCCATCAGCAAATGAAAGGATAAAGAAAATGTGGCACTTACGCACAATTGAGTACTACTCTGCATAAAGAAGGATAAACTTGAACCATTTGTAGGAAAACATATGCACAAAATGGACCTCATCGTGTTAAGTGAAATAAATCAGACACATAAGCTTATACAGCACGTGGTTTGTCTTACATGAGAAACACAAATATAAAGAGCAAAATAAAAGACAATGGAGGGGTTCTTAGAGTTCTTGGTTTTTTAATCAAAACACTGATTTTATTTCTGTACTTTATGACAGCTTTTTAAAAAATCTTTATAGATTTTATTCTCTCTTCATGTTTATATTAGTTCGTATTTTTGTCAAGTAAGTCAGCCTTTGGATTGGGGGGCACCACTTCTGAGCAACTGTAACTATAGGAGGCATATACTTAGTGAAACTAAACAATTAACCCAATCGGTTTCAACATAAATGTGCATATTTTTATTTTAATCTTTCTAAAAACTGAAACAAATTTTTTTTAAAAAGCAATATATTATTTTCTATATGCAGTACACTCATATTCTCTAATTCTAAGACATGCTTCAAGGCTGGTCATAACCCACTAAATCCATTTCTTGTCCCTGTATTAAATGGGCTGACAGCCAGAAAAAAAAAAGTGAATAAATAAATGGCCTGAAAACTGCAATTTGAAAAGTACAGCTTTAGAGAACACAAAAATCATCCTTGCAGAATAGAAGGCCATAGATAAGTTACAAATGTCTAATGGCCACCTCTTTCATTGATGAGAAAAAAGTCAAAGAATTAAAAACATCAAATAACGATGGGTTACTTTACTCTGTGAAGACCACAGAAAAAAACTCAAGTGTCAGTACAGGAAAAAACAAAATAGTACCCCCTCCCAAAATAGAAATTCTAATTTGGTATTTAATGCTCAACACTATCATTGTCAATCTATCACTGATTCCTACATGCACAACTCTAGACTAACCATTTGTGTGCAATCACTTAGCAATGTCAGGTATGCAAACTGAATGATTATATACTTATGCTATTATATTTCCATATATACATTGATATTTTTAAGTCATTCTTACTATCTGTCAAGATAATAAAGTTAGCATTAGATATGAATCATAGGTTATCTGATCCTTAAATTTTTAACCACAAACTTGTAAACTTTCAATAAGAACAGTGGTTGGAAGCTAGGCATAGCAGTACCACACATGCCTGTAATCCAGTACTCTGAAAGGCTGAAGGAAGAACACAAGTTTGAGCCTAGCCTGAGCAACTTAGTAACTTAACAAGAACTTGTGTCAAAATAAAAAATTTTAAAAGGGCTGGAAATGTAGCTCAGTACAAAAGTCCCAGGTTCAATCACCAGTTCTGCAGGAAAAAAATTAAAAAGTTGGCGGTTGCAAACTCTGGCTGTGTGTCCTCTCTGGAGTTCAAACCAAACAAACAGAGGCTAAAATACTAGCCCAGGAAGAAATTTTCAGCTTAAAGTAACAAGTACTATAAAGAAATATATTCTATAAACAATGCACGGTACACTATCTTAAACCATTATGTTTGAAAATGCCTTTTTTGGCAGGCAGATACTACTATATGCAGATATAAAATTCTGGGTTGAAATCAATGATTGCTTTGGCTAAAAAGCAGATGACTCTACCTTGGAACATGACTAGACTGTCATTATGGACTAGATTTTAATACAAAAGTTTGTCTTAGCCTTAAAAATTAAATTCCATTAAAGAATTTAAGGTAGGATCATGACGAAAGGACCTTAACATAAGATAGCCTGAAAAAAGCTGTACCACAATATTTCTATTCAATTTTTTACCCATTACTTAAACTTCTACTTTCCCAACATATTTCCCTTATTACCTAAAAGGTAAATAATTCTTTATGTAACATAATGAATTCAGCATTCTGAGTTGATCCACTTCTATAGTTCTTGAAAAGTTTTAGTAGCAACCATAGTAAAAAATTAGGTTTCTAAAATTTCAAATTTAGAAAGTTCTAACTATATTACTCAGGTAAATTTTATGCATATAAAAAGCTAAAGAATTTCTGGTGACTAAATTTATTATGAAGCCTAAAATTATCATTTCTAAAAAAAAAGAATTATCATTCCTAGTAACAACAGCAAAACTATATATAACACATAAGTATCAGCATACACAGACAGACAATAGTCACAAAATTATTTTTGAAATCATTCATTTTCATCTAAATGAAAATACTTTGTGAAAGAAAAACTGTACTAGAAATGGCCCACATAAGAATTATTTTGTTGGTCACATGAATACTCCAACTTTGTGAAGCATTTATACAACTGGTTCTAATCCAGGCTACCATGAACTGACAGCACTGCTGAGAATTACTCCATGATGTAAATCAGAAAGATAACTACAGACTAAGACATGAGTAATCTTTGGAGTATTTGCTGAAAGAAATTATAACCCATTACTATTAAAACCAAAGGAAAATATTTACCCCATGTCTTCCATAACTTTAACTCAAAAGGAGAAAAAAAAAATTGAACATAAAACGTGACACTTAGGGGCTGGGGATTTAGCTCAGCGGCAAAAGCGCCTGCCTGGCAAGCGCAAGGTCGTGAGTTCGGTTCCCGGTACCGGAGAAAAACCAAAAAAAAAAAAAAAACGTGACACTTTAAATGTAAAATACCCCATAAATCCATAATTACATCTGCAATCTTAAATTTAAAGTATCTTAAAATATGCAATACTTAAATATAGAGTCGTGAGTGTTCATTCTACTCATGACCTTAGGTTCACTGGGGGAGTTCTAAAGCATACCTTTTAATCCACGCCATGGTACTTCAAGAACATGTTAAGGTAAGTCACAGCTTGGAACACTTCGATGCACCTCAAAACACCTCAGCCAGTATCTGTATCACTCTCCTTTTCTTTTGAGATCATAATGGTTCCGAAGAACTACAATGCTTCCATTTGAATGATAGTCTCATAATTTCAACGACTTAAAAACAAAAACAAAAAATAAGGACTTAAGTGTTGATATGTTAAGCCACTAGTGCACTGTGTCAACTGCTGCCATGACTAAGAAAAACGGAAGTTTTGCTAGTACCATGTAACAGTCATTTTCAGTGTCAACCTTCACATGAATATGTGTCTGCCCTTGCTTTCAGTCTTTTAAGTTAAGTCTCACAAATCCATATGCCAATTATTTCTCCAGTTTTCTTCTTAAGGAATACAAATAACCTAAAAGACAAGTCTAAAGACTTGCTAAGTGCCAGTTCCATCCCTGAATGACAATATTTTTTTCTAAACTGAATAAGAGCTGGAAATAATCCACATCCCTGTACTAAAGGAAATTTGTTTAGAGATGGAACAGTTTCATTCAAACACCTTTACTCCTGGTGTCAGCATTACTGAATCATATAACTGCATGGGAGTCATTCAATCAAAAACAACTCCAGTCCCTAAAGTTTACATTGGTTGATAAAATGCATATAATTGAACAGATAGGTGGCAATGCTGTCATGAAATATATATTTGGTTTTTAATCCCTATTTCTCACATACATCTCCTAAAATCCTTGGAATCTTCAGCTGTAAGTGTGTTTTGTATACTAATGAGTTGACAGACAGCTGGCAGCTTCCAGGAGGCTTCTTAAAGGGGCTGACCTGGCAGGATTGGAGTTTTGGAACTTTCAGCCCCTCCGCACAACTTCTGGAAAGGGAAGTGGGTCTGAAGATTAAACTGAATACCAATGGCCAATTACTTAATCAATGATGTATAAGTAATGAGGCCTCCATAAAGATACAAAAGGTCAAGGTGTAGAGAGCCAAGCACGTGGAAGTTCTTGGAGTGTGTGTGGTGTGCCCAGGCAGAGCACAGAAGCTCAAAGTTTCTTCTTCCCATACCTCGCCCTATTCATCTCTTCAGCGGGTATTCCTCATCTCCTTTGTAATACACTGTACAATAAACCAGTAAATGTAAGTAAGGGTTTTTCTCCAGTTCTGAGCTGCTGGAGGAAATTAGAGAACTCCAGTGGGGTTGTAGAAGCCCTCGTTTATAGACTGTCTAACAGAAACACAGGTAATACCAGCTGATGCTTGTGATTTGTATGGCAGGGATAGGGAAGTGGCTTCTTGGGCCTGAGCTTTCAACCTGTGGAATCTGCTTTTAGAACTGAAATGAACCAGAGAACAATCAGACAGTGTCTACTAGAGAGCTGCTTGTTCACTTGGAGGGGAGGGTGTCCCCATATACATCGGGTTACAGAAGGCTTCTGTGTTAATTGTTTAGTATGAGAGCAGAGGAAAAATTATTTTCTACAGAATGGCTAACCACTAAGTTTTACTGCCAAATCTATGATTGTCTTGGCAGGTATCCGTGTCTCCCCTCTTTACTCTGTCTCACCATTCTTACATAAAAACATTTGAATTATTCCACTTTTAATATATAGTAAGAAATATACATATCACATTTTAAATCTAAGAATCTACACTGCAGTAGCAAGTTTAATACTATGCAGTTACCTGGAAGAATACTTACACAAAGTAAAACTAAGCAATAACTTATCAAGAAGTACATACTTCACTGTCATAAAACTAAGATTACTGGAAGATGAGTGATCAGGCAATCCTTAACTAAAGTTAACCCATAAAGAGGGATTCCCTGGAAAGTAGGTGACAAAAGTTCTGTACCGAACAGCTGATGCAAAGGTTAGTACACAAAGAGCAGAAGATGACAATGTTTCTCAGCTAGGGCTACAGAACATGTGCTAAGGAGAAAGTGAAAGTATTTCCTGAGTGAATATAGAGTCAATTGATGAAAATATTTCAAGGCCAGTATCAGAAAACTAACACATTTCTAAAATTTAGATTTTTGTAAATTGCGGGGAATGCAGATTACAAAATGAAGACCACTTTTCAGAAAGCTGATAATGGTGGCAAAACTACATACAGGAAAGATCTTGATCAGAATAGAAAGTAACTAATGAAGCCACAGCCATCTTTTTAAACAGATGATTTTACCACCTCGCCTCTCCCTACTCCTGCTTAAAAGCAGTGTACAGCTCTGTGTGTGTTCCTGTGTGTGTGTGCACGTATCTGCCTGTCTCCCAGATTAACTTCACATTATTTCCTATACTCTACTCCTCCAACAGTTATACAACCGTTCTTATACAACTATTTATAAAGCATTTACATTGTATTATAAATAACTTACAGGAGTTTTAAAGTGTAAAGCATATGTAGATTATATGCAAATATTATGCCAGTTGCATCCATGGATTCTGCTATTATAGAAGGAACAGAAATACATTTCCAAGCCAGTTACTAAAGCCTCCTCCATTGGCCTTGGAGTCAATCCCCTGTAGACACCAAGAGACAAATGCTTTTTTTTTTTTTTTTTTTGGTTCTGATTGTTCAAAGTGTAACATACAGTCATTATGAAATACGAGATCAACTCTACCACAAACTACTGCTAAAGTATAAACTCCAGGGTTAAAATGGATATCAATAACTTTAAACTCTTCTCCTTTTATTCAGCCTCACATAGTAATCTGAAATGACAACAACGAATGTATTAAAATGTTTGCTGAGATACTACTTACTAGGAAAGGCCTAGCTCAGTGACGGTGAACCTTTCAGAGCTTTCAATGATACAAACAGCCTGCTGCAGGATGCATGCCGTTAGGTTTGCCACCACTCACTTAGGTATTTTTTTCTAATAACAGAGGAATGGTTAAATTGCAGCATATAGGTATAATGGAAGCAGTCGTTTAATAATATTGAAATAAGAATATGCTAATATGCTACCTATACATATGATTAGCTATATACAATGTTTCCACATTGCTTATTTTTGTATATATTCATTTACGTATTTTGAGCAGGATAGGAAATTCCAAACATCTATAAATGTGTTAAATTCTATGAGATTAAGAACCACGTCAGATGTACACATTCCTGTACATTCCCACTTACCACAGGGGTTAGGTAGTAAAGGTTGGGGGTTCAATAATAAATCCTAAAGAGAAGACTGCCTGTGTCTGATTCTCTACTGCTTACAAGCTATAAGACCTCAGGCAAGCTAAGTAACTTCTAGGTACTTAAATTAACCTCTAGATATTTTACTTCTATTTGAAAAGGTGGGATTAATTATAACAGCTATACAATAGAAGAAAACATGAATTAATATGAATAAAGTATTTAGAACAGTGACTTAAGTGTGAAAAACAAAACTTAATACATTAAGGGGCTGGGGATTTAGCTCAGAGGCACAGGGTCTGCCTGGCAAGCGTAAGGTCGTGAGTTCGATTCCCGGTACTGGGGAAAAAAAACAAAAAAAACTTGATATTAAATGCCTAGAATGTATAATATCTTCCACATGCTAAATCAAGTAAGTGCTTTTACATGGACTTTTGCATACATAGTGTACAGAAGAAATTCTAAAAATATGGAATATCAAATTGATAAATATTAAAACAGGCATAATTTATCAGATGTGCTCTACAGGCACTTTGAATTTTTTTACTTTTTTAATTTTATTCTTTTTTTATTTTTTGAAATAATGTGTCCCTATATTGCCCAGGCTCACCTTGAACTTGGCATCCCTCTGCCTCAGTCTCCCAACTGGCTGGAATTAGAGGTGTGAGCCACTGTGCCTAGTGACACTTGAATTTGAAACAAACTTTGTCAACCAAGTACTTGGAAAGAGTCTTATTAAATACTGACAGAACTCATATACTGTAAGAATTTCAACTCTAAGGGTTTTGCTTATGTAAGGACTTCAAATCTTTAAAGCTAACCTCAGTTTTGAGTAATTTTCAGACTCTTTCCTGGACTAAGAAACTATTCTAATTCTTACCTTGATAGGAAAACTCTTCATACTCTTCCCAATTAAACACTGTGGGCAGGGAAAGTCCAATACCCACAGACAAGAAGCTAAAGCCAGGATTAATGAGACCTAGCAGCCAAAAGACACCTGTGATCCAGGGGTTCTGAAAGATGAGCTGTTCGGTTAATTTTACTTCTGGGTAATATGCAATTGGGGAAGCTCTTTCCTTAAAAATGTATATCCTGATTTTCAATAACATTAAAATTTCTTCTGTTGAACTGCTGATAATGCTGCCCTTGAAGTGGCAAAAGCCCATGGCTCAAAAGACATGGAAAGGAATATTTAAATATAAACGTGTGTACCTATCCCTCTGCAAATGGATCAGGATTACCAAGATGTCACCTGTCTGGGAGCCCAAACCTGAATGAGGAAAAACGAAGAGATGGAAAAACTAGTTCACAAGAGCTGAGTACAGGATGTTTAAAAAGGAAACGGAGCATTAAACTAACCTATAAACACCCTGTACATTTATTCAAAATGAGCAAGTCAAGAGAAATGTCTTTTCCTTCCGAGGACTGAAGAAGAAACTAAGAAATGCGAAATAGCCTAAACCAAAAGTACCTCTGTTCCTTCGTCTTTCTACATACATATTTATGAAAAATGGCTTACTAGCAAACCAAAGTCCTCCCTATCATTTTCTGTTTTAGCTTAGTTATATGAGTGTCTTTTGGCTTAAAAATGCAAATTTTAGTGACTTACAGGATTACATGGTCATGAGTAATAAATAATGTGCTGATGTAGACTTAGGAGTCTGGAGCCACAGGTGAGGAACATACTGTTGTGATTTCTGATGAGACACAACTTCTCTATAGACAGTAAGTGACAAATGTATGTGAACGGTTCATTGACTTTTAAAGTATAATCTTCAATGTAATTACCGCCAAAACCACAATTCTAACATCAAAATATCTTCCTAATAATTTTTAACTTAATGTTCAAGAAACATTTATGCTTTAAATTAGAACTTCCTTTTGTAAAAGGTTGTCTGTTAATGTTTTCCTCCTTTTATTTTTAAAATTAAAAAAAGTAAAAAAAAAAAAAAAAAAAAAAAGAACTTCCACACTCAAGTTATCTAATCTGTGGCTCTAATTCACACTTGCAAATATTTTCTTCTCAGTCTTGATAAATTACTTGTTCAAAAGATATCTCAACATCTATCTATATGATGTCAGTTCTTTTTAAGCAGTGAGAATACCTGAGTGTACAAATCAGACCAAATTTCTTGGCAGCATACAGCTTAGAGTAATCAGAATGACAAATGGTGATAAATACTATGACAAAAAAAAGGGAAGACAAGAATAGGGAAGACATATAATGGGATGCAATTTTAAAGAAGCCTTCACTGAGGTATACTTTGAATACAGATCTCAAGATGTAAAAAGGGACAGACAGCAGGTCTGAGGCCGGTCACAGTGGTGCACACCTGTATCCCCAGAACTGAAGAGGGTGAGGCAGGAGGATCGCCATGATGAGGCCAGCTTGGGCTACAAAGTGAGTTCAAGGCCAGCCTGATCGCACAGTAAAACCCTGCCTCAGAAAAGACCAAAAAAAAAAAAGCAAACAGGCCTGTGGACCCTACAAGAGCAGATTTCAGCAGAGCTCGGTGTGGCTAGAAGACAGTGATCAGAGGAGTGGCAGGGAGTACGTCAGGAGACAGAAGGCTGTGGAAGTATGCATGTGTTCAGTACCTGCGTGTGTATGCACATGTGTACATGTTCTTAGGACAACAAAGATCATGCAGGCCCTTCAGCTTTCTACCCTATAACTTGAGCAACAGAAGATCAAGATCTAAGCATAACTAGAGGAAGAATAAAGTGACTGGGCTGCTGTGTTGAGAAGTGATAAGGCACAGGGATGACAGGAGAGACCAGCTAGGAGGGTTCTGTGACAATGCAAGGAAAGGGTGATGAGGGCCAAGGATATAGCTCAGTGGCATAAGTGCTTGCCTGGCAAGCCTGAGGTCATGAGTTCAATTCCCAGTACCAAAAAAAAAAAAAAAAAAAGAAAGAAAAAGAAAGGGTGACGAGGCTTAGACCAGGGTGGAAGCAATGGACACATCAGAGGTGGTGAAACTTTGGTCTGGTCAAGACAACAGTAAGATTTGCAGACACACTGGATGTGGCATTGGAGAGAAAGAAGACAGCGATAGTGACTTCAAGGTTTCTAGCCCGTGATCCAGAGCACAGCAGCTATTATTAGAGTGGGGAAGACTCCAAGAGAAGATCTGGGGGAAGGATTTTTTGATGTAAAACATTAGATATGCTCAGGCATTCAACAGTCTGTTATAGCTCATCAGAACTTTCTGCAACAGGTAGAGAGATGTTTTAAGTCTGTCCGTCTACTTGGTACTTGTAATTGACTGGTAGGTTAGCTCTTATCTGCAGCTGGATCTTTATAAAACTGATGAAGTAAAAGTATTATTTATTAAGCATGAGCTCTAAGAACTTAATATTTTAATTATGTATCTCTGTCTTCTGCACATAGTATTCAAGAACGCAATTTGGTAAAAATATTTATGAAAGTTCCTAATTACAAAGACTAACTGTAATATGATACCTACTTTTGCCATCCATGGTTCCCACCTCATAATTCTCATAAGTCCTGTTTTCCTAAATAATGAGAATGATAATGTTAAAGTATTTTTGCCTTTTGTCCTTGGTTCCTGAGCAGCTTTGGAGTGATAAAGGTGAAAAGCCAGCCCTTTGTTATAATACTGGGATGATCTGGGCCTCGGAAAGCAAAATCTCTCACATCTCCTGCCTTCCAATCTGCTCCTGTTTCCTACAGAGGTATTAGAAACTAGAATTTCTCTTCCCCATTAATCTGGAGCACAGATTAATCTTCCCCCACCGTTGTCTCAGCATTGGCTATGAAGAAATTCTATGACCTAGTTTGTCTGATACCTCCATGTTGGAGGGGGTCCTTCATGCTGCACAGAGGTGTCAAGGAGAACCTGGACAGGCCTGGCTGGGCTTCCAGACTCAATCTATTAGAATTACCTCATATTTTTGGTCCAATCATATTCTGACACAGTTGCCCACACTTCAGTCACCTAGAGATGAAGTCTCCCTAATAACCCCAAAGGACAGGGTTTGCAGAACTTGTGGACAACTTAAGACATGGAGGCTTACAGGAAAGTAAACAAAGAAATCATCCACTTGGCAGGGAGGGTAGCACACACAAACGACAGGGACAGAAGCTCCTGTGTCTGGACCTTCCCAAGCCCTGCCCTATGTATCCTTTTGTTGGGGTATTTACTTGTATTCTTCAAAACACACTGCTAATATAAGTACAGTGCTTCCCTGAATTCTCTGAGCTACTCTAGCAAATTAATAGAAGCCAAAAGATGGTCACAGAAACCCCAGCTACGAGTCAGTACATCAGAAACACCAGGGTCCTCACCTTGCAACTGGTATCTGGAGTGGGGACAGTCTTTGGAACTGAGACCTCAACCAGTGAGTTCTGATGGACCTTCAAAATTGAACTGAATTAGTCAACTCTCCCCACTGGTGTCTGTAACAGAACTGTTTACTTACCAGTGGAGAGAAATCCCACACATTTTGGGATTTACATGAATCTCACATTTGTGAGGTGATTTCTGTAATAAGTGCACAGTAGGAGAAACTGAGTTTGACCTGCACTATATTCTACAGATACTACTGCTATTCTGTATTCAGAGAGCATAGATATAAAATAATAAAGATGATTTTGGCTAAAAACCATAACCAAAATGCCTCTCCATGTGAAACCTATGGCTAAGAACTAACGAATTTAACAAGCAACACTTAGGGAATGAGCTAAACTTCTCATTTAAACTAACCAGTACTTGCTATTAGCTTATCTTTAAATATAAGGTTGGGAAAATGAAATCAAATCTAAAGAGCCATCTTAGAACTACTTCAAATGTCTCCAGAAACTTTTGCTACATTGTTTTAATTGTCCATTATCC